CACTAGGAGAAGGGCGGTATACAAATTGAATTAAATCAATCAATCAATCAATCAATCAATCAATCAATCAATCATCTTTGGGAGAAGGCTTTGTTTTACAGCCCTGATTTGCTGCCAAAATGCTGCAAGTTTAAATGCAGGCATTGTTATGTATACACTGCTTGGAAAGGATTCAAATGACCCACCAAGGAAGTCAACAACGGGTAGTTTTATCTGTCATTAGCTAATTTGAATTGGTTGCCAAGGTCGGTGTTCCCTACACATTGGGGTATTGGTTGCTCTCGCAAGGAAGTGGGCGATGAAGATCGTGAGCACTAGAGTCATTGCCAATGGTTCCCCACAAAGCCAATCGGAGATATTTTATTGTCTGGACATATTTTATTAGCCTTCTCTAACCCAGCATGGAAGGCAGCTAATCTATAACTTCTTTCTTATTTGACCTCAACCTCTGTTTTTCCTGCCAAGTTTTCATGATGTTGGCTTCATCTCATCCCTAACCCATGAGTAACACAGCCTCATTTCCTTCTTAAATTTCACTGTGCAAGTAGTCCTTGACTTACAATCATTTGTTTTGTGTTCAAAGTTACAAAAGCACTGAAAAAAGTGACTTATGTCTGGTTTTCACAGTCACAAATATTGCAGCATCCCCTTGGTCATGTAATCAAAATTCAAGCATTTAACAACTGGCATGTATATGAGAGTTGAAATGTCCCAGGTCATACCATCACCATTTGTAACCTTCCCAGCTGGTGTCTGACAAGCAAAGTCAATGGGGGAAGCTACATTTGCTTAACGATCATATGATTCACTTAACGACTGACAAAAAATGGGGCAAAACTTACTGAACTGGCTCACTAAGCAACCAAAATTTGGTTGAGGACTATCTGATTAAATAGTCCACACACTCACACTGAATAAGGTGTGTGAAATTTATTTAAGAAAATCAGTATGGCTGACCAGCTCACTGACTGAGTGGCTTACAAAAATGAAACTCCAGTAGAAAACACACACACCATGACACCAATCATTTGATGGGTTCTGTATCACCCTAAAGTCTCCAGGCCAGCTAGCCTGGAGATGGGAATGATAGTTTCACACAGAGGAAGCCACCACGGAGAGGCCTTCTTGATCTCACTTGGACCTCTTTAAGAGAGGGTACCCGTAACATTTCCTGCCTCCCCATTCTGGTAGCTCTGATAGATGTAAGTGAGAACAGATGGTCTTTCAAATAATCTGGGCCCAAGACAAGTAGGGTTTTAAAGGTGGCAACCAGCATCTTGAATTGGACCCAAAAGCAAATCAGCAACCAATGCAGCTCCTGCAAGAGATGTGACTCATGTGCACTAGACTTGCACAAAACCATGGGGATGTGCACCACATATGGTAATCTGGTAGTCTTATCAGCCATTACCTTGGAGGAAGTCAGGGAACTAGCAAAACCTGAAAACTGAGGCAAAGAAGGCATGAGAAGATCAGTATTGGATTAGCATTCTTGTCACGTCAAGAATAGATGGAGGGACAGAATCCCCACTACTCATTTTCAGCATCTTCTAGAGCACGGGTCAGCAACCTATGGCTCCGGAGCCGCATGTGGCTCTTTGGGCCCTCTGCTGTGGCTCCCTATCAGGTGATCCCAACAGTGGCTGGCCCCACCCCTTGCCCTCCCGTCCCAGTCACTCCTCGCCTGGCCTGAGAAGGTAAAGGCAACGGTGAGGGATGAAGAAGCGGCCAGGGCAGAGACAAGAGATACAGAAAGAGAAGGAGAAGTGGGGAGAGAGGGAGGGAGGGGAGAGAGATGTGTCAAAAGGATTTTGTGGTTCCCAGTGTTTTTTAACAACTGGTTCTCTGCCCTAATAACCGGCTGGGTAGGCGTGGCTAGGGGGATCATGTGACTGGTGGAAGTGAGTGACATTGAGTTGGCCACGCCCACCCAGGTTTTGTGGTTCCCAGTGTTTTCTTTTCCGTGGGAAACGGGTCTAAATGGCTCTTTGAGGATTTAAGGTTGCAGACCTCTGTTCTAGAGACACTGAAATATAATTATGGCAATATAATAATGATGAAAATAGACTTTACAATGCCTGAGTTATGATAGAAGAAGCTGTAAGACATTGCTCATGAAACAGCCATAGTGGTGAAGAAAGCTCCCTTTCAATTGTCATGTAAAAGTTGATGAGTAGATTTACTTTGCTCACACAACTGCAGGAAGAAAGAACGCACCATTTCATATGTCGGTGAGAAAACCACATTGATTTCTTGGGTTGTGACTTGGGTATCTAATGCACAAGAATAAGTCTCTTAGTTCCAAAGAAGTTGCATGATTAGCCTGATTGTAGTAAAAAATAGGGACACAGTAGCTCAGTGGCTAAGATGCTGAGTGTCGATTGAAAAGTTGGCAGTTCAGTGGTTCAAATCCCTAGTGCTACATAACGGGATGAGCTCCCATGACTTGTCCCAGCTTCTGCCAACCCAACAGTTCGAAAGCACATAAAAATGCAAGTAGAAAAATAGGGACCATCTTTGGTGGGAAGGTAACAGTCATGCCAGTCACATGACCATGGAGACGTCTTTGGACAGCGCTGGCTCTTCGGCTTAGAAACAGAGATGAGCACCGCCTCCTAGAGTCGAGAACAACTAGCAGATATGTGCGAAGGGAACCTTTACCTTTAGTGAAGAATTGCTTTGCCCCTGTAGGAAAAGACAGTAAGTCCTTTCCATGAATTAGAAGACCATATTAGCATCTCCCTGTTGATTTCCACAATCTATGGACAATTGAATCCAGAGGTGGCATGGACTTTACAGTTAGTCCTTGCCTTATGACCATAATTGAGCCCAAAATTTATGTTGCTAAACAAGACAGTTGTTAAGTGAGTTTTGCCCCATTTTATGACTTTTTGACACAATTGTTAAATGGATCACTGCAGATGTTAAGTAAGTAACACGGCTGTTAAGTGAATTGGGCTTTCCCAATTCTGATTTTCCTTGTCAGAAGGACACAAAAGGTAATCACATGACCCTGGGACACAGCAACTATCATAAATGTGTGCCAGTCGCCAAGCATCCGAATTTTGATCCGTAACCATTAGGATGCTGCAACGATCATAAGAATGAAAAATGGTCATACGTCACTTTTTTCAGGCACTCATAACTTTGAACAGTCACTAATTGAATGGTTGTAAATCGAAGATTACCTGTAATGGGGCATACACACATTCTCAACCAGGCACTTCTTTGCATTCATCACAACTGGTGTTCTTATCCCACAAGTTTTCCTTTCTGTTTGCCAAATGTCATTTGATTTACCTCCTTGGTCGGTAATGACCAGGCCTTGTGTTTTCTCCATCTTGTTCCTTTTAGAGGAATTAAAAGACCAAATAATAGGCATGCTTGTCACACTGGAAGAGGGAAACAAAAGCTCTAATGAACCTGGCAGGAACCATAATAGAAGGGTTCTGCAAAATGGCATGATAATTAGAAAATGCAGCAGAGCTGTAGGAAGGGAGCCAGGAGTACTCCAAATTGTTTGCTCAAAAGCAGGGCTGTTTGATCTTCCAGGGAAGTCGGAGGGAAAGTAAAGAGAACAACAGCTTACCAGAAAGAGGCAGGAGACTCCCTTCCATATCCAGGGCTGAATACGCCTCTGTTATTGTGGTCAAGCAATGAAATATATATAATGGATATTTCATTTCTGTTCCATGAAAGACAATCCCCTGGCGCCCATTGGAAGGGAGGACGCATGAAACACAAGTAAAAGAACAGAATCCTTGGAAAAAATCAAAATCCGTTGGTGGCTATTTTGCATCAAGGCTGTTCCAAAACTAGCCTATAGTTTGACTAAATGGGCTTAGCACAGTTGAGAATCACGTAACAGCTCGATCTGTAATTTCACCTAGAGGCATACTTCTACTTCAATGGGTTTTCCCCCCCCCGGGCAGACTTGGAAACTTTAATATGTGTGGATTTTAAGTCCCAGAATGCCCCAGCTAGCATGAATTCTCCAATAAAAGTAAGGGACAGGAAGGGTATTTTCAGACTTGCAATTGCCAGTGTAATTAGCCCTTAATATCACCATGGATATTAGATCCATCTTTATTGTACGTTTACATTACAGTTAGTCCTTGACTTACAGCCCATTCATTTAGTGACCATTTGAAGTTAGAACAGCACTGAAAAGTGACATGAGTGGTTTTCCCAATTACAACCATGCAGCATCCCCATGATCATGTGATCAAAATTTGGATGCTTGGCAATTGGCTCATATTTATGACAGTCGTCGTGTCCTAGGGTCACGTGATCACCTTTTGCGACTTTTTGACAGTCAGTGGGAGAAGTCAGACTCAAGTTAACAACCGTGCCACTAACTTAACTGCTATGGTTCACTTAACAACTGTGGCAAGAAAGGTTGTAAAATGAGGCAAAACTCACTTAACACTGTCTTGCTTCGCAACAGAAATTTTGCACTTGCAAAATTGTGGTTGTAAATCAAGGACTACCTGTACATTAATACAATCGTGCAAGTCTCCTGGCCCTTAATTTTACTCTCCCAGAAACTATGGAGGGTCCCTTCTGAAATTCTTCCATCTTTCCTCCCTCATTTCATTCATCAGATATTTTCTAGGCTGCAGCTCTTCTGCCTGAATCCAAAAGTCATTCCCACATACATTACAATTACTGAGTTTTCTCTCCATATCCAACTGTCCCAGATGCTTTTTCAAAAGGCAACTGGACTTCCTTTGTTTTTCCTTGAAGATGTTTCACTTCTCATCCAAGAAGCTTCTTCATTTGAAAAAGCACCTTTGGGACAATCTGGATGACTGAGAATCTCCATAGATGTCCATGTCTAATTTGTTCTTCCTAAGAATCATGCTGCAAAAGTGTGTTGTGATTGTTGCAGGAATTTTTGTGGCACACATTATGAACTCGTCTCCATTTTGGGGGTGGGTAGGTGAATTCTTTGTTCTTCAAGGTTAGAAATGAGGATGGGGTTAGGAAATCACTATTGATTTTAATGATCAATTTTATTACTCAGCAACGAGCACCAATAGGAAGACTGAACACAAAGTGCACTTGATCCCACCTGCAAGAGCAAAAATACCAGAAAAGAGCACTTTAGGGAAATTAAGATGAGCACAATACCCTGCTGAGGAAAATTACATTAAATTCACAAAAGAACTCGTGGGACAATGAATGTTCAGAAGATAATATATGTGAATATCAAGCTCTGGGCTGCATCCCATTTCCCATCCCCCGTTTCTGGCTGTGACTGAGGAGAATTTTAGTCCAAAACATTGGTGAGAAACCCAGATTGGACAAGACTAAGGATAAGAAGAATCTTGCTGAATGCATCCCATCCTCCATCTTTTCTCCTAACCTGGCCAAGAAGGAGCTTTTGAAAATCAGATCTTGTGGAGATCCTTTTCCTCTATTATCTTTTCCCACATGGAGAAAAGTTATTAAAGCTCACTAAAGTTTTATAAACATGAGGCAATGAGTGAGAAGGTTCATTCATGGCATCAGATGAGGACATTTATTTTTGAGGTAGAATGATACTAATTTTTGTCAATGCTGACTGGAAGATTGGGCATTAATTTGGAATAGACTGCATATACAGATAGCCTTCGATTTATGACCACAACTGAGTCCAAAATTTCCGTTGCTAAATGAGACAGTTAAGTGAATTTTGTCCCATTTTACAATCTTTCTTGCCACAGTTGTTAAGTGAATCACTGCAGGTGTTTGGTAACATGGTTGTTAAGTGAATCTGGCTTCCCCATTGACTTTGCTTGTCAGAAAGACATTCACACGACCACAGGACATCTCAAATGCCATAAACACGAGTCAATTGATCATGTGGCCATGGGGATGCTGAAAGCTCATTCTGTCATTAAAAACACAAGAGTAATAAAATAAATGTTAATTGCTACTGGAATCTTTTGCCTGAGGCTAATAGTAGAATTGGCCCTTGGAGGCTTTCTCTTCTGAACTTGTAGGAAAGGTGAGATGAAGAGGATCTCATGGCTATCCCATTATCATTGTCAACCTGTACTGGGCATTAAATATCATCAAGACCACATGGTGTTCTGTACAGAATAATGAAATTAAGGGTCAAGTACAGCTAGGAAATGAAGGCGGCAGGGGAATGTAATCACAGCAAAGGAAAAATGCTTTTTTCCCCTTCTTTTGCTATCATCCACTTTGCAAAAGAAACCTTGGATCATTCCAACTCATCCTGAGAATCCCAAAATATATCAAAATGGACCTTTATGTTTTTTTAGCAATCAAACCATAGAACTCAAAGATCTGTGTAAATGAGCCATTTTGGTTAACAGCCAGCAACACTATGAAAAAGGGCCAGGCTTAGTTTGCAGCTGTGGTATCTGTTCTGTGGAAAAACTTTTCCTGATCACTACTGGCTATCCATATCTGGTAGTCATCACTGCACTCATAGACAGCAGCAGAAAGCTGACATTGCTTCATGCTTGCCTTATACCCTGAAATACTGGGTGTAAAAAGAGGGGGTCAACTTATTTTCCAAAGCACCTGGAGGCAGGACAAGAAGCGATGGGTGGAAGCTAATCCAGGAGAGAAGCAACCTAGAACTAAGGAGAAATTTCCTGACAGTTAAAACAATTAATCAGTGGAAGAACTTGCCTCCAGAAATTGTAGGTGCTCTATCACTGGAGGTTTTCAAGAAGAGACTGGACAACTCTTTGTCTGAAATGTTATAGGGTTTTCTGCCTGAGCAGGTGGTTGGACTAGAAGACTTCCAAGATCCTTTCCAACTCTGTTATTCTGTTACTCTGTGCCTCCTTTTTTCCTTTCCTTTCCTTTCCTTTCCTTTCCTTTCCTTTCCTTTCCTTCCTTTCCTTTCCTTTCCTCTCCTTTCTTTTCCTCTCCTCACCTCACCTCACTTCACCTCACCTTCTTTCCTTTTCCTCTTTTTTCTGAAGTCTTCTTCAAGATTGACTCATGGCAACATCATTGACATGTCCATCTCTTGGCATGTTCTTGGCAACAGTTCTGAGTTGTTTTACATTCTTTCCTCTGTTATTGCAAAATAATCCTAAAAACACAAAATACAAGAAAAATATGAGTTAGGGAAGCTGTTTGCCAGAGTGAGAAACTTAGGATAACTAATGTTGTTGTTTTTTTTTAATTCACATTGGTGCAATTCCTAACAGCCTAAATTGCTTCCCTGCTGATTCACTGTGTAGTTGTTTCCACCTTTTGCCTCCACTGCTTTCTTTATTCATTTACCTACTCCTTTCATTTGCCTTTCATCTTATAAAAGCAAGATGATCAAAAAAATGCAATATACAGTGCACAATGAACTAGAGAAAAAAGCATAAAGGAAAATAAAGTAGCAAATATAATACATCAGTAACTCACATCAACCAAATGAATAAAACAGTTTAAAATGCTAATCAAGATATTGGACCTGGTGCTTAAAAGATTAGAATGTCTTTGTAAAAAATGGGAGAGGTAGAAGAACTAAGGATTAAAACATAAAGGATTTATTCTCTCCTATTGCTTCAAACATCTATAGCACTGAGATAAGCCACTGTCCTGGACTGTTTTTAGCTGGTGGGATCTCTTCATAAACCCAATTTTGTCCTCCTTCATGCTTTCCATCCTTGGCACCATCTCTCTCTCTCCTCTGCTGCAGTGGGAATTTCTTGCCAAAAGACAAATAAGTGTTTATCTCTGCAATGTTTTCATCATGGCATCTTTTTCCTTCTAGATTAGACCAAGTGAACTTTCTTAGAATTCTTTATTGGCCAAGTGTGATTGGACACACAACAAAATTTTCTTGGTGCATACACTCTCAGAGTGTATAAAAGAAAAGATACATTCATCAAGAATCATAAGGGACAACACTTAATGATAGTCATTGGGAAACAGTCAATATAAGTGAGTCTCCAGAGAAGGGCAGCATATAAATCGAACCAATAAATAAATAAATAAATCTTAAGGATATCAGCAACAAGGTTACAGTCATACAGTCATAAGTGGGAGGAGATGGATGATAGGAACGATGAGACGATTAATAATAATGCAGCCATAGTGAATAGAATAGACAATGTTGAGGGAATTATTTGTTTAGCAGAGTGATGACGTTCGGGAAAAAAACAGTTCTTGTGTCTAGTTGTTCTGGTGTGCGGTGCTCTATAGCATCATTTTGAGAGTAGGAGTTGAAACAATTTATATCCAGGAAGCAAGGGGTCTGTAAATATTTTCACAGCCCTTTTTTGGACTCATGCAGTATTCAGGTCCTCAATGGAAGGCAGGTTGGTAGTAAGTGTTTTTTCTGCAGTTCTAATTATCCTCTGAAGTCTGTCCTCTGTGTCTGTCTTGCTGAGTTGCAGAACATCTTGGAGAACATCTGGCTGATAGGACCGTAGCCACGGTGCGTTAACCTGCTTGACTTCAGTGATAGGAGAAAAAGCATCTTTTTTCCCCCTCACTCAAAATAGAAGCCTAGATAAAAATATTTTTTGTAGGGGGGAGTGGATATTAGATTCCCCCAGGGATCTTTTTTGGGGTGGATATATTAGTTGGGAATGGGTTATAGTTCAGTTTGGCAGCCAATATGGATGAGTCATGCTTTGGGGAAGGGAGCAATTAAAATGATATGGTTGCAGAGTAGGAGATTAACTTTGACTGATTAGAAGATAATTTTCATGGCATAAATATCAGGCTGATTCACAAGGAGGAGGAAAAAAATAGCTTATTAGATATTTGTACCCCTTCCAAAAAGTGGAATTTCGGAGCAGGAAATGATATAGAAAATGCAGGTGAAATGTGTGGGTGGAGCTTTTTGTATGTCCCACAGCAAGGAAAGACTTTTCTTTTTAGTTTTGGGGGGGAAAATCAAGAAGATAAACAATAGATGTTTATTAAACCACTCTTGGTGTGGAAAACATGGATATTTTCTTTTTTCTCCATTGGTTTGTTTTCTATCCCACCATTCTACTCAACTAACAATAATTAAAATATAGAATACAAAATCTTTAAAGATAGGCATTGAAAGCAGTGCTGAAATAAATAATCAGTTAAACGACTTAAGAAAGAATGCATCTTTATAGTTAGAAAGTAGGATAGAGCTTCTAAAACAGTTTGATTCCATTATCCCTTTTTCTGGTCTCAAATAATATCATTATTCACACACAAAAAGATTCTATTGTTTTACACAAGCATCTCATCAGTGGCCCTCCAAAACTAGATCCTTGACTTTCAAACAAGCAATTACAAACAGCTCTAATACTACCAGGATATTAAACACATAGAAGAAATCTGGAGCAGGAGCTAAATACAACTCCTGATGGAAGGCCCCCACAGCCTTGGACTGATGCAGGAGAAGACCCTCTCTCCTGTCTCAGAAATGGATCGTTTGACTTCAAGAGCAGCATGACATGGGCCTTTTCGGCAATTCTTAATCTCCAAAAGGTTTGTCACAGAGGAGACAGTCCCTTGCACAAGCAGGCCCTAAGCCAGTGTTGGTGAACCTTTTCACCAATGGTGAAACGGGAGCATGTATGCATGCCAGAAACCGGAAGAGCAGCCACCCGGTGTGCATGCGCGTGCTGGGAAGATTATCTTCTGGTTTCTGGTGCGCATGCCGGTTAGAAACCGGAAGACCAGGTGGCTGGTGTGCATGCGCGTGCTGGAAACTGGAAGATCATCTTCCCAGGTGGCTGCTCTTCCGGTTTCCTGCGCTCCCACGTGCGTGAAGCCTAGCTGGAAGAGCAACAGGTGATGGCTCGCGTGCCCGGAGAGATGGCTCTACATGCCATTTCCAGAATGCGTGCCATAGGTTCGCCATCATGGCGTTAAGCTATTTAAGACTGTTCAAAGTTTTGAAGGACCAAGCTAAGGACAGACCATCCCTATGAAAAATCTATGGTGAAGTTACTAAGAATCAACATGTTCTGGTGGCACATAATCAATCAATCAAACTATTTAGAATTATAAGGATTAATAACCACAATTTTAATTGGCCCCATTGCTGTTAGGGTACCTGGTACAGACCTGGAAAAAATCTTAAAGATGGAAAATTAAGAACTTCAGAGATCATCCAGTTCAATCCCTGCTCAGCCCAGGATCTGCTAAATTGATATGCTCAATACATGCCCAACACGTCATCTCTATATTTTGCCTAGGTTCGGAAATTAATTTTTATACTAGTTACAGACTCTTTTCAAGGGTAGCACCTTGAAAATAACATAACAATTGTTAAGGAATTCGCAGAGCAACTCTTGAGTAGCAAGGGTGTGCACATGAAAGCAATTTAGAGTAGTTATGAATAAACACAGCCAACACAGAGATACACTGAGTTGTGTTTACTTTCAGGAAATTGTAAGGCACAGTCCAATAAACAATCCAGGTCCTACACGTATAAAGCAATAGATAGTAAAACAATAGTCAAGGGATAATCCAATAACGAAGTCTTCTTACCAGTCATTGTAGTCATACACATTAACAGTTGCAAACAGTAGCAAATACAGCAAAGAGCAGTAACAAGCAGTACAGATCAGCAAAGAGCCAGTAAAGGGAAACAAATCATGTTTCTAGCTTCCTCTTAAGGACATTGGCTACAGAGCTAACCAATCAGGACACAGTATGATGCAATACAGTCTTAAAGCTATATTGATGGTTTATATATTGCCAACCCAACAAGTTAGGTAACAATCATTTCCTAACAACAATACAGTAGTCAAGGCAGATCTAAGGCCGGATTTAGAGGTAGTCCTTAAATTAAGACCACAGATGAGCCCAAAATTTTTGTTGCTAAGCAACACTCAAGTTGTTAAGTGAATTTTGCCCTATTGTACAACTTTTCTTCTCACAATTGTTACTCACTGCAGTTGTTAAGTTTGTAACAAAAGCCATGGTGGAACAGTGGTAAGAGTGTAGTATTGCAAGCTGCTTCTGCTGACTGTCGGCTGCTGCAATTTGGCAGTTCAAATCCCACCAGGCTCAAGGTTGACTCAGCCTTCCATCCTTCCGAGGTGGGTAAAATGAGGAACCAGATTGTTTGGGAGCAATAGGCTGACTCTGTAAACCGCTTCGAGAGGGCTGTAAAGCACTGTGAAGCGGTATATAAGTCTAAGTGCTATTGCTGCTGTTGTTAAGTGAATCTGCCTTCTCCACTGACTATGCTTGTCAGAAGGTCACAAAAGGTGATCACATGACCCTCAGAATGACCGTCATAAATACATGCCAGTTCCCAAGCATCTGAATTTCGATCATGTGACAGTGGGGATGCTGCAATGGTTGTAAGTGTGAAAAACAGTCACAAAGGTTCCTTTTTTCTGTGCTATTGAAATTTTGAACGGTCATTAAATGAATGGTTATAAGCGGAGAACTCCCTGCACTGTTCCCAAATCTGATTATCTCAGGAAGAATCAAAGCCACAAAGTTAGAACAGAATCCATCAGGGATCATTCAGTGATGCTGAATGCTGGGAAGTCTGGCTAGGAATTCTGATAATTGGAAGGTTCCATTTTGACAAATGCTAATTTAGAAGGCCAGTAAAATTTTAATAAACAGAAAAGCATTATAGAAAGAAAAATAAAAGTGAAGGAAGAACAAAAAGGTTGCTATTGTCTAGGAATGGATGGCTTAGGACAGTGTTGGTGAACTTTTTTGGCACTGCATGCCGGGAAGATGACCGGCCAGCTAGTCTTCGCGTGTGCATGCACGCCAGAAACCGGGAGACTAGGTGGCCGGTGTGCATGGGTGCGCCAGAAACCAGAAAATCACCTTCCTGACGTGCGCATGCGCACTGGGTAGCTGCTCTTTCCGTTTCCGGCACTCCCATGCCTGTGAAGACCAGCTAGCCGGCACACCGGAACCTGGAAAACAACAGGCGATAGCTTGCGTGCCCGGAGAGATGGCTCTGTTGTGCCACTTCCGGCACCCGTGATATAGGTTCGCCATCACGGGCTTAGGATAAACCTGAGTCCTATGTTGTATGACTTTCTCAGAAAGAGAAAGTGTTCTGTCCCCGTCTCACATTCGCACACAAGCAGATATC